GTGTGCATGTGTGTCTGTGTGCAAAGCACCATGCCTTGTCGCTACTCTATGATGTGGTCAGCAGAAAGACAAATGGCAAGTTAACACGGGTCACCTAAACTTCCTCCGACTTAGCACCGGCGCAAACTTGTTCGATACTGACAAAGATCAGCATTAATCACACTCCAATATATGGCAGAGAGAAGGCAAACAATGCCTCAAAGACCAGCTGCTTGAAGATATCCAACGGGAAACTTTTCAAGACAAAACAGAAACAAAGGCAGCGAATGACAACGGAGCTTCAGTCATGTCTAATGTGCCACCAACAGCAGTCAGTGCAGAAGCGCCAGCAAGGAAACAGGTTACGCTATGTTCGCCTTTGACCCCACACTGCACAACACATAAACCTCCCGTCATATAGGCCGCCATGCCTGTTCACTAATGCCCCTCTCCCTTTCAGAGATATCCCCCTAGACTCCTCTCAGGCAGTGCCAGCCATTGGCATGCTGTCCCCAACAACATAATTGTAACTTTGGATAGGGCAGTATCAATCAAAGAACATATTCAGTAACACATATTGAGAATCTCCAAACAGCAATAGTTTTTAAGCGGCATTCAAAACAAGACGAGACCTCACCGATGAGCCCCTCGTTAGGATTTAATGTTGGTTTCATGACCTCCAGTTTGACGCCCGCCAGCATTGTCTGTTGCAAACACGAGAAATGTTACTCATTTGGACATCATCAACATCAATGTGTCCTACTAAGCAACGTTTACTCACCCGCCGGCTGTCCACACACCGAGGAACACATATGCATGCAATAAGTGTTTTTGCTGCGAAGGCATTCACAGCATTTGCCAATCTGAGACGACCTTACACCACCAGTACCTTGCCCAGGCAACTTGAGAATCGAAATTGGGTCAATCTGAAGTTTTCGGACGAAAAGTACTACCGGACCAAAATGTCTGGCAGCACCAGCCACAAAAGAAAAGAAGTGCATCACTGGCAGTTCATTTTTCCTTGGCACGCAGTGCGAATCTGCGTCGGGAAAAAACATCTCGGAGGTATTGGTCCTAAGGCACATCAATGTCCAAGCAGTGCAAACAATAAGCGATGTGCATTGTAATCCACAGTGCAAACGGACACACGCAAGGAAAGGTCAATGCGCAGGGGGAAATGCTCTGCATGGGAAGTGGGCATTCCTCTGTTGAATTGGTTACTCTCTACTATTGTATGAACGAACAACGGCTTCTCTAGCGACAACACAAGGGATAGCTAAATAGACACCTCACCTCCGGAATTGCAAATGACAAGTGAGATGTGCATCCTCTGAGGACATACTCTGTCGAGGAGTCAGGACAAGAACCGATACTAAAGACAAGGAGAGCCAACCAGCTTCAAGAGACAAAGACAAATGCAGAAGCAGATGTGGTTGCA